TCTTCTCCCCTCCGGCACTTTACCGTTCGCCTCGGACTTGTATTCATGAGGTAAGGGATACAGCTGCATGCTTTCTGCCTACGGCAAAAGCCTGCTTCTGGTAGTGTAGTGCAAGTAGCAGCTTGGAGGAAAAAGGAAGGGCATTCACACAAATAGCTAATCAAAGGGTTTTTAATGATACTCATTAGGAAAGAAATTCATTAACAAGCCAGCACAAGAACATTCCCTGAAGGGAGGGTGATGTTATTGGGCACATCAAAGTCCCCACCTGACCAACACCTTTATTGCTGTTAATAGTAAGGCCAAGTTAGCAGCAAAATCAGTCACATCCTGCTTCTGCTAAGCAAAAAGAAAAAAAAAAGAAAAAGAAATCGGCAAAGCATGGTCATTGAAACTGGATCAACTACGCTTTATTTTACAAGCTGTAGAAGGGCTCATGCCAGGGATGCATAGTTTAGCACTCACCACTGATGTCCTTAAATTCATCCAGTCCTTATCCTTCACACTCTCTACTTTTATTTTTATATTTCTGGCTTTGTCTGAATTGGTGGACTCCATGACCCTGGTGCACACATGCTATCTGTGTCCTCACACCACAGCAGCCCAAACCTCGCATACAGGCTACTGGCCCCTTTCTGGGTAAAGTCTGCAGAAGAAAACTTCATCACAAGTGCAGAGGGGAGCCGTGGTATACTGCAGGCAGATCGTCCACCCTGACAAGGCACCAACACAGGCACACCAGAGCATACACATACTACGCAAACGAGATGCAGAGTTTGAGCATCAGAGCCATTCCCAACTTACAGCCATATAATTCCCTTTTTTTGTGCTCCCACCACTACTTACCAATAAAAGTGACTCTATTTTTCTGCCAGCTCACTCCTGGAGATTAGTATTAGTATCTTGGGATGCTCATTTGCTCTGTGAAAATTAGGTTTTTAAATAGACTGGACTAGAAATCACACTTCTCTTGCTCTGCCCTGATACAGCAGAGCTCAGTTATTAGAACAAATTGGAGCAAGCCGCTTCCTGGTTGTTATACTCACATAATTACTACAGGCTCATACATGAAACTATGCTTCACTCATACGCTTAGAGGCAAGATCTCCATTTTGCAAGGACAGAGAAAGTTCTATTAAGCATTTTACTGCCAAAGGAGGTCAATTAAGTTTAATTGATTCTAATTAGCACTTGCTCAAGCTGTTATATTCTTTACCTGCATCCGAGTGGCTCTCCAAGTGCTGCACAATGGAGTCCTGCTTTTGAACACAAATGAGAATTACTAATGGCATCCTTGAAGGCAAAAGATGCACTGATCAGCATAAATGGGGGACAAATATCTGCACAAATGGTAACAGGCCTTTCTAAAAAAACCCACAAATATTTAAGCCCCATCTGGCTTTGATCAATTGAACTGAACGCAACTGTGCACCTTCTTGTTGAAAATTACAACATAAAACGCACACAAATGTAATTATTCTCTTCAATGGTAACTTCTTTACAGCTAAGAGAGATGTACTAGAGAATGGAGTAGCAGGGAGGGAAATGTTTTAGCAGCTCAGAAAAAAAAAAAAATTAAATTGTAGCTAAGAAAAAAATACCCAAGAAAAAGAAGTACAAAATCCCGAAACACGTACCCCTGGAATGTCTTTTTCCCTAGGATTTTGGAGGATTCTCTTAGAAGATTTGTACTTCAATGACACTTTCCTGTGGTTTCTTTTCCATTATTCTACTACATGGCAGGGAAAAAACACCTCACTTGTCTGAATGTCGGTGCATGCAGTTTCAAGCACCAAGACCCGTGGTGAGAAGCAGGCACAGAATTCATGATGGTCAGTGCCACACTGACTGAGGTGTCACATGCCACTGTGATGCTAACGTGCCCTCTAGGTCTTTGCTTTCTGCTGAGCTCTTCCTGGCTATACCCTAAGCAGTTAGTCAAAGACAGGCAAGGGCACTTCCAAGGCCAGGTGATGTGCACAGTCTTATACCAACACTAGAGCTCAGCCTTTTCTTCCCCGCCCCCTCCCCCCCCCCCCAAAAAAAAAAACAAAAAACTATCCACCTTCTCCATGGACGGGCACTGCCTTCCACCTCCTCTGGATCTCACGAAATGCCTCAATGGTCCTAAGACCCTTCCTGCTATTTTGGGGGGTAGTGGCTGACAGGGCTGGATGTCAGAGTCTGGCACAGATGTGGGGAATGAGCAGAGCCAATGACTGGGGCCACTGCTCTGACATGCTCCCTAGCTCTGTTTAATGAGCTAGATATACATACCCAGCCACTAAAGGCATGCCCAGCCTTCCCTGACTCCAGCAGCATGCTTCCTCCCTCGTTTGGCAGCCCCAGCTCTGGGGAGAAGGGCAGCGCCTTGCGCAATGCCCATAGCAGGCCAGGGCAGGTGGACAGGGGCCACCACCAAGCACCAGGAAGTCTCCAAGCACGAGACCTGCCTGACCAGCGTCCATACGCAATGCACTGCAATGCCATACTCACTGGAGACCTTCCCTGCCTTGAAAAGCTCTGCTCGAGGTTGGGTACCCTGTCCATATGGCACGTGAGGACCTGCACGGCACCCAATGAAGGAAGCCACTGAAACTTGCTGGGCCAGAGGCCACGTCCAGCAGGACACTGCTAGGGGATCAGCCAGGGCCAGAACCGCCTCCATACAGTGCTCAGTTTAGGATCCCTGCCTTGGATTAATCACACATCTGAAATAAAGTACCAGACTTAGCGTCTTGAGGATCTAGGCCTCATATGGTCTTTTAAGAAATTATTTTGGTATGGAAAGGGAAAGCAATGAAATCTATGCATACCTCAACAGTTCAGAAGTACATGTGAAACTCCCGTGGATCTGACTGATTTTAAGGCAGTGCACAGGTGCCTTTTTTATTATTATTGTTGGCTACGTTTCCTGCTATTTGAATATACATCCTGAATGAATTGTCCATTGCCCACATGGTTTTCAAAAATAATTTATTTTTAGCTAACGTGCTCCAGATAGATGGAACAAAACCTAATGTGTTAAAAAAATAAAAAATAAAATTAAAAAATCCTCCCCTCAGCAAACAAGCTCCCCCGCAATCTTTATAAAAAAAGGCCAACTTTTTTCCTTCCAGTACCCCTGCTAAATTTCCACAATGCTATTAATCATAAAAAAAATCAAACAATGCAAAAATTCCTAGAAAAGCCAAAGGAGATAAAAAAAAAAAAAAAAAAGTTCCTGCCAGAATCTCCCCCAACCTGACTACTTTTCCTCTGTCAATTGTGAGGCCTCTTTCCCAGCCTTACTACACAGCTTTTCTCCTAGCTGGCAATGTATGGGCTGAGGCAAGCATAAGCCAGCACATGATTATTTTAAACAGTCATAGCTTTCTTTTACCCTGGTGTATATTAAAACCAATAGCCTAAAAACATTCCATGCTCCTTTTTTTTCATACTTTTTCCAAGGAATGGTGTTTCTGTTGTATTTGAGGTGACAACCAGATGATACGCAAAAGATTAACTGACTTCTATCAGGATATGAGAAATCTTAAAAAACAAAAATAAATGTCTGTTGCTTGCATCACTGAAATGGCTGCCCATACAGCAATACACCACTGAAGCACATGTGACAGTTTATTATTTCATCCTTTAGCCCTCCTGCATTTAAAACTGAGTACATACTCAGTGCAAAGATTGAGAAAAACTGACCTAAGATCTACCTATATGTCCTGGGGACTGCACCAGGTTGGCTGTAGCTCCACCAGTGCAAAACCCTGGTTCAAAAGGCTGACACCCACCGAACACAGGATTTTTACAGGTGCACTACTTTACAGGTTGTAAGCGAAGTAAGCTATGCACTTGCAGTCCTTTCTGTACATTGATTTAGCACATTTACAAAAGGAGGAGGTATCACGAGAATAGCTGTATCAGTGTGATTACATTGATACAACTATTCCCAATATAGAGAGGACCTCAAACAGAAATCCCTATGACAGGCAACGTTTACCACTGGCCTATTTACAAGACAGCTATCAGCTTAATTCAAAAACCAGGGTATAAAATGATCCTTGTTACCTGTAAGTGGACAGTGATGATTATAGCTCAGTCTATGTTATTATTGCCTGATTGTTCCCAGTTTATGTTAGGTTACACTTTTCACATATTGACTTCTTACTCAAGGGCTTTTAACATAGATTTGAAATGTGAATGTTTTATTTTTTCCCCAGTAAATATACAATACACACTTCAACAGTACTATTAACCAACTTTTTATGCCAATTAAACGTTGCTGCACTAACAATACCAATGAAACACATTAAGAGGTCATACCTTTTTCGTGAACAAACTGTAGCCAATAAACAGTTTAAAAAAAAAAATTAAAAAACAATTCTAAACCCAGCCACAACATCCCTTTTCTTTAAACACAGTATTCACAAAAAATGTTTTCCATTTTTTTAAAAAAAAAAATACTTCTTTTAAAATAGTAAATTAAATGGCATTTTAAAAAAGATGTACTGTGGTTCATTGGAATTACACTGTATAGAAAAGAGAGAGAGGAAAAAAAAAGAAGAGACATCACCTGTGAGATAATGGAGACACTTTGCGATACACAACAACGCCCTATGTAATATTGTAAGCAAATTATTAATGAACAAACATGTACAGAAGCAGATGGACAAGTTAGTGAATATCATGGTACTGCACAGCTTTAATACTGACACACATTTACTTTCCAGTGGAAGAGATAAAACACATATCTGAAAGTAATTGGGATAGCTTTGTCATTTTCTAATGATACTGAATTTTAAATAGAATATAGTGAGTAAGGTGTTCCACCAAAGCTCAGCACAAGCTTTCAAATTAAAAGAAAAAGAACCTACTGGTGACTAGTTAAACATTCTCCAGAGAATTAAATTTGGATCAGACCCTGAATAATCTTCTCTTCATAGGATAATACC